CGCACCCTTCCCCCTCCACCCCCTCAGCGCCACTGGCAGCTCCTCCAAAGCCCGTCCTCGGAAAGGCTCCGGAGCCACGTGGTTCCGGAATCAGTGTGCAAACCCTTACAGCGAGCTCTTGGCCGGATGCTTTTCGTTAACATCTCCCTCAAAAGGGGAAAAGAAATGGGGATTTAAATTGTCCTTTAAAGAAATAACTGAAAAGCATCTGAGCACCGCACTAATGAGGCCTTTTGCCTCCTACTTTTCTGCTTTCGCTCCTGCTTATCAGGTGTGGCCAAACCTCAAATATTTGCTCAAGACCTTGGCAAGTTTTCCAGCATCAAGGAGCGGCAAAAGTGCCGCAAATGCAGAGCCCAGCTGTCACGCAAGCTGAGACCCTCTCCTCTCCCCTCCACCAGGAACAAGCAAGTGCCGGAGGGATTAGCGACTCTCTGAACGTGTCTCCTATTGCTCCAGCACCTGTGTGTGAAAAGCCCTGCTCGTGGTTTCCACGAGATGAGAACAAGCCCCTCTCCCGGACTCTGGGCACCATCGGGCTCCTGCCTGATGCTCGCAGGGAGCTCACGCCGTCCCTTTCCAGGGGCCCGCTGATGCGGGGTGGGAGCAGCGGCGCAGGCACCAGTCGCACGGCTGGGACGGGAGGTGGGCGAACGGGGACGCCGTGCAGCGGTAGGAAGTTGGTGTAAAAAAGGAGTGCTGTTCAAAGAAAACGAAAGCTGAAGTGAGGCTTTTCCCACTGAGTTCAGGGCCAGATCTCCAGATGTTCAGTTCCACACTTGGAGCCAGGTTTTCAAAACCACTGGCACGCTACCTGCTGAGTGCTCGGACTCCAGCCCCCGAGCGATGCCCGAAGGAGAGGCATCCGACTGCCTCCAGACACTAATCCGAGGGGCCAAGAGCTGAACTTACACTTTGTCACAGTACTTTATCTGCAAGGCCACCCTCCTCCACCCCAGCGGGAAGCAGGGATGCCGTCTGCTCCAGAACTGCCCCAGCCTCGGGGCGTGCTCGCCCTGCTCCGGCCCCTGCGCTCCCTGGCTCCAGCTCAGCTGCTTCCCCGCTCGAGCATCGGGACCCTCACACCTGCCAGGGCTGCAGTCCCCTGCACTTGCAGACGGGCACCTACGTCGTCCTCCTCCAGCCTCGTGTTCCTCACGCAGACGTTCGCACGAGGGCTCAGGGAGAACAGAATTTTTTCATGCCTTTAACCTCCCCTCCTTTGGCCTTCCTCTGGAAAGAGGCCCCAGGACAGATTTTCCGGGTATTTCCGTGACACAGATAGGCAACAAGGCTTTTCAGAAAGCAATAAGACTGTGTCTTTAGGCACCTCAACATGTCGCAGATCTGTGCTCCAGTGCAGCAGAATGCTTGCGGCAGGGCGTAACACGCTGTCTGCCGGTGTTACCCTGCGCACAGCGTGCGGGGCAGCCAGCCCGCCGCAGAACGGCAGCAGGCGCGGGCGCCCGGGACAGACGCAGGCCCCCAGGCTGTGGCTCGCAGGGATGACGGAGAAGCTTTGCAAAAGGGTTCATGTCAGGCACCCAGGCATGCGAGCAGAAAGAGGGGGTTGGTATGTGCTGCTGATGTTCTGCCTTGTGTATGCCAGGTATGCTGCTGGAGGAGTGCACCAGCCCTGGAAAAAGAATTTCCCTGGCAAAACGACTGGGAACATTTAAATGGGATGGTTGTGTAACCATCGGTACCTCAGCCCAGGGCTTTGGAAATCTGGCTTCAAATCCTTGTGCTTCCACAGGTCAAGTACGACCCTGGGAAAGGCTCCCCTGCCCTTTGGCAGCACCGGGGCTCTGCTGCGAGGGTAAGCACGCCCCAGACACCGCATCCAGAGCTCAGCGCCTGTCCCTGGCCAGTGGTGGCAATGACTGGGATTAGGCATGTTCTGAGAGCTGGAAGTCCCATTCCTCGTGAGAAATGTTTTCTCTAAACACAGGCAGACAATCACCAGGTTGAATTAAGGCTGTTCTCCCTGTTTTCTTTTAGATCCTGTTGAGCTCGCTGAACACGAGGCGTTGGAAAAGTGGTCAGACCAGAGCCACCTAAGCACACGAGTTAGGCAGAGAGCCTGGATACGCCCCCTGTTTCCCTGCTCCTTGATATGAAGCCCTGATGTCAGGAGACAGCATCCCACACCGATCCCACTGGGGACAGGGGGGGATGTCACCGATGCCCATTTCCAGCCCTCTGCAGGAGCCAGGACCTCATCCTGCCTGCGGCAGAGGTGGCTGGGGCCGGGGGGTGGCAGGCCCTCTGCCCTGGACTTTCACTCTGCCTCTTGCAAACGGTTTTCCCCGGTCCGAGCTGCGCTGCCTCCACCGCACATCCAACACCTTTTGCCTCACCTATTGCCTCTGGATCTTGTTTCTTGGTGGCAGCAGCATCACCCCGAGCAGCACCCTGGACCGCATCCTTCACCGGCTTGCATGTCAGTGGCTGGAAGGTTGGGTCGATTTCTAGGATCAGCTGGTTGAGAGTCTCTATTGATATGTCCAAGGTAGGGGACACCAGGTGAGCCTCGGGGTCCGTGCCGGTGTCCTCCTCCTCCTGCAGCTGGTACAGGGCAGTGGGTCTCTCCGAAGAGGCATCCTGCTGCCCCTTGCCCGGTGTCTGAGCAGCCGTGTGCTCAAACACGGGGTGGGCTCCGTAGAGCCCTGCGCTGGGAAGCAGGCGCGCGCCGGCACGCACCGCGGCGGACGGGCCAGCCCAGCCCTCCGGTGAGTAGTAGGCGTACTTCATCGGCAGCGCGGAGCAGCCCGGGTACCCCGCCGGGTGCAAGCTCTCGCTTTCATCCTGTGAGGAAACACACACGGTCTGTCCGACACGCAACACGTGGTTTTGTATGACCTGTGACATGGTTTGGTTTTCTGGTTTGATGGCTCAGAGTCCAAGGGAAACCTCCTCCTCCTCCTCCTCGCCTCCCTTTCTCCACCAGGACCTCAGACCCCTTCTTCAATCCAGCGTCTCAAGCGGAAGAAGAATCTAAGGAATGCAGAGAGAGGAGCGGTTACACAGGCATGCCCAGGGCAGGAGCAGACTTCAGTGGAAAAGTCTATAAAAAAGGGGATTTGGAGTGCAAAGCTGGAATTCAGCTCATAAGAAAACAAGTCATCCTGTATCGCCTTTCCACCCCCCTTCCAGCCTCTGCTCCCAGCGCATCCGGGCGAGTGCAAGGAGGATTAATTTGCAAAAGCTTTGCAGGATCCAAAGGCCTAAAAACTTCCTTCTGCTTTACTGGCACAGTGCTTATTTTATTGGTTAAGGATGAAACGAAGTATCAGCCTAACAACTTTTCCAGGAGACCCTGACTCTCGGCGGCCATCCGGAGAGGCGGTGGTAGACACCGAGCCCGGAGCCTCACAGGGTGGACTTGGAGCGGGCCAGAGAGACGGAGCTGCCTGCCAGAGCTATGTTCTGCAAGTGGGCGTACGTTTAATCTGAGGGTTTATTTTGCCGGTACAATGTGAGCTGAGCCCTGGAAACCTGTGTCTGTGGCTGCTTTCTCTGTCAAGGCACTGCTCTAGAAATCCGACTGCTATTAAATTTTGAATACTTTCTGGCTTCGCTTTAGATAGAAAGCATTTTCTAATATGCCATTAAAAAAACCCCACGGCAGAAGGTAGGTAGGCTTCCCCTGGCGGGTTCTGGGCACAAGGTCTCAGGACACTGTCTGGAGCCGGGGGGGCTGTCCAACTGCATCAGGAACAAGCGGGGGTCCCCCCGCCGCTGCTCTCCCTCGCACGCGTCTGCCTGCCGG